TAGAATACAACTGTGTTGCGTTAATACACAAATCACCGACAGTTGCATTTATGAAGTTAACACTCTAAGAAGATTGTTTCTCTTACAATATAAAGAAAACCCTTCAGCACCCCCAATTTAATGTGATTGTACCAATGAAATTCACATAAATATGAAATTCCACACTTTCCATTTCATGCCATGGTAAAAACATCCAGGGCCTTTATATGTTCAACTATTTAACAATATCACCTCACTGGTAAGGTTACTCAATACTCTAGATTAACCAACACTGGCTCGAGTTCAAAATGCCCTCAGTGTAGGCCTAAAGGCCTAAGCACTTGTGTCCTCTTTGCAGAAAGGAAAAACAACAAACAAACAAACAAAAACAAAAAACCCCACCTATGTTTAAGACCAAATTATTTCATTAAGCTGATAACAGCCTGCTTCATGATATAACATTTAAAACTCAGTCTGTTAAAGTGCTTGTTTACTTTTCACAGGAGGTGGGGAAGTAATCCCCAAGGAACATATATATTTTTAAATGACCAGAACACTATTGCTGTTATATGCCTGATGCACACTCTTCGGAATGAATGAACGTCAAGCATCCTGACTTGTTTTTCCCTTGGCCTGGGGAGAGTGAGCGCACTAGTGTTTGCAGTCCCTTCCCTTTCTGTACACACATAGGCTGCAGCTGTAGTAAACAACCACCAGCCAAGAGTTGCTAAGGTCAAGGTCTCAAATGCTACAGCAGGACCAGTTTTCTCCCAAATGACATTTGGTTACTGAAAAAGAACTTTCTGGAGAAAAAAATACTAAGGGCTCATTGGCACATCAATTTTCATTCAATAAATAGTAAGACAAAGCATTCCAAAATAAACTTTATCTGAAGAAAGTTTCTTTTAAATATGCATTACTAAGTAATAAATAACTGAAGCAACTCAAAAATAAACAGAAACCCCTCAAGAATGACAAACCTGACAAAACTAACAAAACTGTATTAGTCTCCCACTTTTAATTCATTAATTAAAACTTCCAAATTTTACCAGCCTTCGTATATTTCATAATAGCTATGAATTACATGGTAGACTAATAAACCTCTCTCTTAAATACATTACAAACGTCTGCCAATACTTCTATGCTCTAATTGCTCTCTCCCCAACCCAAAGAAGCTTACCAGACTCAAGCTAGTCTTCACATTGACCAGGCTGCAGCAAGAGATACAACTTATGCAACTGAAATGTTTGTCCTTCAACATCCCATGTCTACTAAGCTTCCACAGTTAAACATTTTCTAGCCTGGAAGTATACCCCTTTATCACAACCAATTTCTATGTGGTTTTTAAAAATGTAAACAACATGTGAATGAGGTCTACAAACAGCACAACCACGCTCTTGGGGGGTGTCGCTGTCTTTATTAAATGCCAATTCCAAAGAGCATTTCTTAGATGATGGAATACACCCACTCTTCAAAGTGACCGCTCCTATTCCCATCACGAGGTGCGCCCTGTTAAAAGCCACCAAATTTATTTCAAAGCATTTATTTATCTAAACAACTCTATCCTCCAGTAAGAAAAGGGCCTGGAGGCGTCTCGGTGGATTTGCAGAATGACGTTATTTGATTGACAGATGTCTACTGAAGCCACTGGATGCACATGCACTAAATGTAAATAGACCTGCTCACCTCCCCGGTGTTACTGAGAAACAGAGAATATTAAAGCTGATTTAAAATAAAATATCTGAGTGCTCGGCGGAGAATTCTATTAGCCAGTGGAATTGCTTAAAACAATCCATACAGAACGATACTTAAACCATCTGTACAGTTAAATTAGAGAGCTGACAATATTAACCATACAAACTGTTTATCCAGATTACACATTCCGTTGTACTAATACTCTTTAGCTCAACACAGTCAGTTTTTATCAGCTGAATTAAGGGTATTACTATTAAAGTATGCAAAACTCGAAGCGCAGGGTGAAGGGGGTTGGGAAGCTGCAGGGCATATAACAAAGGAATTGGTACTTTTTCCAAGCGTCTGCCTCAAATGCACTTCGAAACAGAACTGTTGAGTGCACCCCACCCTTTTCCCCAAAGATAAAAGTTTTCAAAGTTCTAATAGGCAGTTCTCTACCCAACAAAAGCAGGATTGATTCTCCCCGTAGGGGAGCATCTAACATGAACACCAACTAATGTCGCGGAGGTCAAGTCCGAGTCCCGGGAGCGAGCTTCTAAGGCAAGAAGTGGCTCCCAGGCCGGCTCCGCGGGCTTCCCGGTTCGAGGGGACGTGCAAAGTTGCCCCTTGTCAACTCCGGCCGGCTCCCCCGTAATTGAAAATAACAGCCACGGGCCAGCCCCTGGCTACTTCCATGGACCAGGCACTGTAGCAAGTGACAGTTACACATCATTACGACCAGAGACAATAATGAATGTAGCACCAGGACCACTATTCATGCCAGCAGTGTCATCTCCGCCTTAACCCCTTCCCCTCCACTTTCTCCAGTGCACACCCACAGCCCACACAGCCCCGGTGCGGCAGCTATTCACCGAACTCGCTCTATTCCTGGGGGCAAACTACTTCCACAACACCCCCCCCCCCAGTTCAGCCCTGGTGTTTTATTTCTCATCCTTGGCAACTGTCAGGCAAACACTGCAACCAACAATTCCACTAGAGGTAGAAAAAACATTTGCTTAATTCATGGTACTTGATAAGTTTTTTTTTAAAAAAAGAATTTGGGGGTGGGGGGGATAGACCTTCTTTCTTCTCCACATATCCGACCGACGCTACTTGCTTTGCAATAGCATCGCCCTCCCTCGGCCCCCTCCCGCTTCCCAACACTTTCCCCCTTTAAGAACACAGACCAACCAAAATGATTTAACTTGAGCAGATGACAGAAGGAAAATAAAACATGTTAAGAGAATACGGTCTGATTTGGAATGGCAAAAAAAAAAAAAAAAGGAGGGGGTTGTTTATTTTGATAAGAAACGGAATCGGCACAGACCTGAACAGAAGCTGCAGAGCAGGAGAAATTGTTTTCTTTCCCTCACACAGAGTCCCCCTCTCTCTCCCTTTCTCTCTCTCGCACACACAAGCGCGCACACACTCACTCTCGCACACACACGGCGTCACCCGCGCACACTCACACGCACACTCGCACACGCACAGGCAGAGCCTCTCAGCTGCTCTCTGCAGTTCTCAGGAAATGAATGGGGGGCAACCCAGGGAACTGTTGTACTTGCAAATGACTTACCCGGATCACATGATGCGCTAAATGTAGGGTGGGCCGGTGGGTGGAGGCTGCCGAGACGCGAGCCCCGGTCTAGCGTGGGGAGCCTCGCCAGGCCCGCATCGAATTACCCCGGGGCCCAGCCGAGGGGGTTGCAAGACGCCGCTTCTCCTCCCTTGCAGCCCGCAGCTCAGGAAACCGGAGAGGCGCGGGGGGGTGGGGTGGGGTGGGGTGAGGTGAGGTGGGGGGGGTGAAAACACCAAACCCCCAAACAAAAGAGCTCCGGGTCCTCCTCCCCAGAAACAAAGCCCCGCCGCTGCGGGCGAGCCCTGGGGTGGGGCCGAGGGCGGGGGCGGCGGCGGGGAGGGGCTCGCTCAGCAGGCGCTAAGTCGCTTTATTGCCATAAAATGGGGCCCCCGAGCCGCTCCGCCCGAGGATTAGGAGGCGGGCTCAGAGTGTGATGGTTGAAATCCCCTGTGGGAAACTAACCCCTCCCAGCTCACAGAGGTAGAAGGCAACACCCACTGCCCGGCCCTCGCCTCGCCGCCCGGGCCGCCGGGCTGGGGGGTGGGTCCGCGGAGCCTCCACCCCGCCCCACCCCGCCCCACCCCTGCCCCCGCCCCCCGGCCTCCGGCCTCGGCCGAGCTTCCCTTTCACCTGCACCACCTTGCTGCGGTACCCAAAATAACCTACACATGGCCAACGGAGCTTTGGGAGCCGCCGGCCGAGGGGGGCCCGCGGGGCCTTGCGGCGGGTGGAACCCCCGGATTGCAACTCGCCAGGCGAGGACTCGCGCTGAGACGCGAGAAAGTCCTCTCTTTTGTGTCAGAGCGCGCAAGGCAGCCTTAGGAAGAGAATTCGGTGGCAAATCGAGCGCGGATCCCGCTCGGCCCCCCGCCCCCTCCCCGCTCCGGCCCGGGTGGGGGCGTGCAGGGAGGGGGCCGGGCGCCCGAGCCGTCCCCGCAGCTCACCCGCCGGCTAACTTGGAAAGGTGTGGGCGGAGCCGGCTCCCGCGGCCGGCCG